TCAATTAAATATCTTTACGTATAATTCAAATTGGTGAATAAACCAATAATGTACTTATGTACCATTTATGCAAAGACAAAAAAAAAAATAAAAAAAATCTAACTGTTGCATCAAAAAGTACTAATTTTTTTTTTTGTAAATATCCCAACAAAGACCACGCTAGCTTATAGAAAACTCATATAAAAAAAAAATAAAAAGACTTCTATCCATCTTAATATTGTACAATGCACCAAAAATGCCCTCTATGAACTAAAGTACAAGTGCTTGGAGAGTTGAAAGTGTCTCAAAGATTGTTCAAAGGAATGAATTTCACTTGGCATATTATTTAGAATTAAGTAATGATATTTAGTTCCAATAGTATTAAAACACCAATGTGCAGTGGCATTAAATGACACTAAACAATAGGCCTAATCAAATTGATCCATTTTTTGACATTTAATTGTGTATATCACTATGTTCAACATAAATTGATGTCGTAGTACCACTGATATTGGATAATATTGTTCTTTAGAATGACACTAGAAGTGGGCACTGCATCCTTGCCTAAATTCCTATTCGCTTTATTCTTTAGGAAGTCACAACCACATTGCTGAGAATAATATTGGAAAAGTAAGATATCCTCGTAGAGCAAAAAAATGAAACATGAAAATTAGGCTATAATTCTTTATCTGGAAAAAGGTAAGATATCCTCATAGATTTAAAAGAAAAAATGAAACATAAAAATTAGACTTTACTTCTTTTAATTTTGCACAAATTTAATTGAAAAAAAAGAGAGAGATTATTATTCAAATGTTTGTTACTCCCTTCGTCCCATTTATATAAGCTAATGTTCTTTATTTTCTTATCCCAATTATATAGTTATGTTTTTTAATTGAAAATGCTTTGTTTTGTTCATTTACTAATATACCCTTATTTAATTTGCATAGTTATAATCAATTTTTCCCACTCAATCTTGAAATTGTACAAATATAAAGTTACATATTGCTTACCAAATAATTTATGAACGTAAAAATTGAAAATTAAATCATTCAATTTATTTACTACTTCCAACAATAATGAAGTATTAGTTGTTAATAATTAAATAAAGGTAAATTAGGAAAATTTTTGTCAAAAATTGTTTTTTCAATAACATTAAATAAGATTTCTTAATTCGTGCGAAAAACAAAATCAGTCTATATAAATAGGACGAATGAAATATTTTACTTGAGTTCAGATATAAGAATTAAGCAAGCAGCTAATAACTTCAAGCCGATTCCATTTGACACAGCACTTCACCTGATTTTGAGATTTCCGTCGCAGGCAGACTAACCATTCTGTTCCTATTTTAGGTGGCCCAATTATCAATTGTATGTTTGAGATGGCTTCAATGTGTGCATGTATATAAATGTACTCATTACAAATTTGTTTTGCATTTAGATCGATAGCTGAGCTAGTGGCCCTAGGCGCGGAGGTGATAGTCCTTGGTGAGTTCGTGACTAGTAGCTCGCTCCATGTATAACACATCTAGCTATCGACTATGGTTCCTAATACTGTTTGCCATATGAACTAAAGTTACGAGCTCCCACAACACAATAAAACATTTTTAGCCCATGCTTGGTTCGGATTAAAATCTGATTTTAATCCAAATCAAAATCAAACAATTAATATTAATCACGTCTTTCATGGGTCCCACAACTTTTTAACCACACTTTCAAAAACTTTTATCACTAAAACAACACAAAGACAATAAATAAAGAAATTGCAACAATTTTAATATGTATATAAATATATATTTTGACCCCCATTTGATTGTAAGAATGTATTTTAAAATAGTAGATTGATGAAAAATGTGTAGTTAAAAAATAAAGAAATTTTTTAATTTGCGTGTAATGTTATTTTATTGAAAAAAGTATGATTGAAAAGTATATTTAAAAAATAATGGGATCAAATAAGAGCATAATATCCCTATAAGTTTTATAAATTATTCGAGAAAATTGCAGTCACGGTACCAAATATTTCATTTAATAGTAGACTTTATCCAAACCTTTCATTTGTGCCGTCCACAATACCACATTTTTCAAAATGTCGCAGTTGAAGTCCAAATGGAAGGAAAATGTTAGTTTGACATTTAGTTGACCAAATAATTAAGATTAATAATAATTTTGACTAATTTTAAAAAGATAAAATTGTAACTTTACATTTTTTTCAACGAAAACCACAATTAAAATATATTAATAATTAAATTTAAAAGTAAAAAACCACCCAACATCCCCCCCTTCTTCCCCAACCCCTTACCCCCAAAACCACCAACAATAGTAGCAACGGTCGATGCCATCGCATTGCTGATAAAAATGTTGCAACAACCACTGCACAACAAACACCAACTATTGAAACAGAGCAAGATATTGAACCCACTAACACACCAGATCCCACCCTTATGATGATTCTCCCGACGGAAAAAATTGAAACACCATTGCTATAGCCACAGCCACAGCAAAAACCCACCACCACAGTCCCACAGCAAGAACTCACTAACACCACCACCTACTGAAGAAGAAGAGGAGAAGGGTTGGCCAAATTCAAGTAAGGCGAGTGCGTGAAGTGCTTGTCGAAGGAGACTAGAAATTCAACCAATAATCCAACCAATATTCAAATAACAGTGCTCAAAACTTAATCTGAAAACCTTTTGAGGTGGTGGTGCCTGATTTTGAGGATGTGTTCAAAGATTATGCCGAAATGGAAAGTGAGGGCTGGGTTTTGAGGATGTGCCTCCAAACACTGTCTTGATTTCACAATTTAGGCATTCATCGTAACGTAGTTAAAATTTTCTTCTTTTGAGGTGCCGATATCGGTGGTTGTGGCAATGGTCGTGGAAGATCATAGTGGTGATAGCTTTTGGATTTAGTTTTGGTTTGGTGGGGTGGGGTGGGGTGGGGTGGCAAAGAAAACCTTTTTTTCTTTGATTTATGTTTTTTAAATTTAATTATTAATATATTAGAATTGTGTTTTTTATTGAAAAAATGTAAAGTTACAATTTTATCATTTTAGAATTAGTCAAAATTATGGTCAATATTAATTATTTGGTCAACTAATGGTCAAACTAACAATTTCCTTCTATTTGGACTTTAGCTACGATATTTTAAAAGATTTGGTACAATGGTTGACACAAATGAAAGATTTGAACAAAGTCTATTACTAAATGAAATATTTGGTATCGTGATTGCAATTTTCCCAAATTATCATGTCTAGAATCCGGAGAAAGGGCAGTTGATATGTGACAAATCAACGAGGTGCAATATCTTATCTTAAACAGTAGTCACTAACATGAATGCATAAAAATCTTTTCAACTTTCCAATATATATTTGTCCGATTGAAGTAGACAACTACTGCACGTATGAATACTGACGTATGATTCAACGTAGCTTGTTATATATATATTATTGAAAACTACGAATATTTTTGATGCGTCTATCTAAAATTTAAATGAGTAAATTTATCTAATGGAATCCATTAAATTGATTATTGGGAGATAATGTGGAGCAGGAGACGACACTAGCATTTTTAGATCGACTAGACCAAACCAAGAAGGCGCACGACCCAAGCACACACGTGAAGCTGATGCTAAAATTGAAATACAAATCAAATGGACCCTAAGGTTTTGTTTTCAATTTTCGATCTTATCTCAATATTTTATAAAATCAACGGGTTAGCTATCACGGGTGTTCTTGTTCTTTCACAATATTGCATCAAGAGAAAAACCAAAAAGAATTGGAAAGTGAATGTATTAATCTCGTGAGTGGTTCAATCGTTGGTTTATTAAAATTGTACACAGAGACAACAAAATAAAGAAAATACACTCAAATGAAAACGACTCCCTTCCTATCCGATCGCAGATGCTATATATATTCTCTTACAATAATCTGAATTTTTTAATTAACTCAATTAATTATTTGACTTGTCTTTTTAATTTAGAAATTAATTATAACAAACAAAAAAAATCACTTGAGGGATTCCATATGCTAAAATTATGGTGAATGAATTATTTGCTAGATATTTTCGAACGGTTGAAAAGTAGCAGATATTTAACTTCTGTGTTGTTCAATCAAGAATATTTGGGCACTATTGGATATTCTAGTTTTAAGATATTATCCAAACAGTTAGCATGTTCCGTGTCTCTTTTTTAACAATAATTTTTTTTTTTAAAAAGTACACGTGTCGGCTGGACCACAACTGGAACTATATTTTAGTGTAAGTTAGAATATTAGCTTTCTGGAGTGTTCCGATTACTTTTTAGCCAATTTCATGACTAATATAAATTTGGGAATAAATAACGTTACTAATTTTAAACCTTTTTGTTATTATTACTAAAACACTGTTTTTAATTATTTTGTATGCATTTTCTTGATTTCAATTTTGAAAATAGATCTGACATCTCACAGGGCAATCGACTGTGGTTATCGGTGCGAGTTCATGATGATGGCAATGGTTATGTGTTTAGTAAAAAGTTACTCAAGTTCAGAATTTAAAAAGGTTACAAAGGTGGTCCAGTTTTGAGCCAGTGCTTCTATTCATCTTTCCCAAAAGACGCAAAAGCTAGTGAAAAATTGAAGCATCTCGGGCAAGTTCTGTTGTGTACGCATCTCTAGTGTTTAAGAATCAATACGGAAAAAGGGCCCATATACTTCTGTCTCATAAATTGATATTCAGCCTAAAATTTTTGTAAGTTTCATGATCCTTATTCTCGTACTAAAGTAAATTCCTAATAATAATTGGACCATATCTTATCTCATGTATTTTTATAGCATTCTCATAAATTTTCTAGACGAGTGACGACATCTCCTTTTAGTTTGTGTGACGTGTTTTGCAAATTGAATTGAACAATATTAAAGAGCACCCGATAGGATAAAAATGTTCTTATTTACCCTAATTGGCATGCAACATTATAAATAGGCGGATATCGATTGAAGTATACACACATCTGGTGTACGATACTAAACCAAGGTATATTGGGCAAGGCAAAATGGAGTCGAACCACAAGCGCAGAGGTTTCGTCAAGGCAAAGATGATTATGTCTTTGTATCAAACAAAGAGGAAGACTCCGGCAAAGGAGCTCATTTTCCCTCAGCAGATGCAATATCAAATAAAGCAGAAGGCTCCGCCCCAAGCCGACTCTGTGGGTTTCATCGTCAAACCAGAACAAGTATTTCCGCAAAAGATGCATCAAGCAAAGCAGACTGCTCAACCTTCGGTAGGCTTCATCGTGAACCAAGATCAAGTTTTTCCTCAACAGATGCAGAAAGGTTCGATTGTTGTGCCTGAAAGAGGTCAGGATTCTTATGGAAAGTTGGATAATTTCTATGGCGTGGCCGGAGATGATGGCGTTGATGCAAAGGCTGCAAGCTATATATCAGTTGTGCGTGAGAGACTCAGCCTTCAACATGTCAATTCTGAACGTAAAACTTATGAAGACATATATAGCAGTGAAGATAAGTAGAACGACTACGAGTGTTGGCTGCATTTATATGTCTTTATTATTGCTAGCTGAATGTTGCGCTAAATAAGAAAGATGATGATAATTAGTGTAGACATTTGGTGTTTGTATTATTACTTGAACCTTATCTATGGTTTTTTTCTTTAACATCTTTTTTTTCGAACATTTAGGGAACTAAATTAAACTAGACATGATTATAACCTCACCAGTTTGGTGGGCCTAAGCAAGAGTAGAAAAATATGCTTTCCGCATCAAATAAGCTCCTCCCAAACATATTTGGACCTTTAGCGTGCAAACATAGTGCAAAGATTTTAAATATAGTCAAGAGATAACTCGATCAATGACAAATATAAATGTGTCATGAATGATTTATTTTTTGGAATTTCATACAATCTCAATTTCTACCCGTGTTTGTGTGTGCACTCACCCACAATCACATATATTTAGATCTTCATCTAGGAATGTAGATGTTCTTGCCTTGAACGCTCTCTCTCCTTGTATTCTTGTTTAGTTTTTGCTAATCTTGAACTCAATTTTAATCGATTATTCAAAGACCTAATAAATATAAATAGATTTATAATAATAATAATTCTAAGTTAGGATAGCGGGACAGATGGATCAGGCATAGTTGGTAATAATCAAGTAGAAGTGAATTTGATTAGAGTAATTATTATGCTCATATGCAGTTGTTGGGTTTTTTGATACCCAATAAATCCGGGCAATGATGTTAAATCGGTTTTATAGTTTGGATTAGATTTCATAGGCCTCAACCGATGATTGAAGTGAAATGTCGACATCACAATGAACGAACCACTCCGACAACCTAAGTGGGCCGTTTGAAGTAGTCTAATCTCATTAGTGTTGCTCATGGCCCGGCCCATTACTTTGGATGGCTTTAGGGTTGAAAAGCCCACTTGTTGTTATCTATTGGGCCTCTTGTGTTTTGACCTTATAGCCCACTTAACTTGTGCTTATAAGTGGGGCGATTTTCTTGTGATTAGCCCTAGTGTGAAATTGAACCTTGGAGCCGTGAGTTAGAGGAGGGAAAAGGGAGATTTGCTTTGTGCTTCCTCTTGCTTTGTGCTATCTTCTCCTTCTTCTTCTCTTAGCCTTAGTGGCTAGTTTAGGGCTGCCAAAGATCACTCACACTCAGCCTTTGTGGCATCTTGGAAGCAACCAAGTGGTGGTGGTTCTAGTTCGGAAATTGGTTGTCATTGTGGTGTCGATTGGTTGGTTTTCTGAGCCCGGTTTGTGGTTGATTGGAGCCCCAAATTTTGACAAATGGTATCAGAGCGAGTTGGTGGTGGATTGGGCTTCAAATTCTGACCAAAAATCGACCAAAAAAGCAGGAAAAATCGAGCAGAAAAACTGCCCAGTTTTTGGGGCGAAAACCGCACCTGCAAACTCAAATTCCAACCAAACCAGTGGTCGTCTGGACAAACGGAGACCTGATTTGGAACGTGCAGGTGGAGGCGCTGCTGGGTGGTCGGCGGCGGAGCGTAGGGAATCGGCGCCGCGCGTAAGGGCGCGTAGGACGTTTTCAGGCTTCGACTTCTTCAGGCAGTTTGTTACATTTGATTTTGTGAACGTACTGATATTTTTGGTTTAGTGTTTCAGGTTGCGCAGGAAAAGTTGGACGATTTTGCCCCTACGTTCGTAGTCCAATTGTTGCTCGGGTGGTTGCTGAAGTTGCTAAATACTTTAGGGCGAATAGTGGTGGCCCTAAAGTGTTAAAATTATATTTCTCGTAATTTACGGACTCAGATAGGTCGGCTCTGGTAAATTGGCTTATCCCGTTTAAATTTCAGCATTAGCGCGTCATCGTGTAGGGTGACATTAGGATTGGGGTTACCGTGAAGGGGTAACCATTGCTTGTGCTAGAAATTTAGGAATTAATTACTCTATTTGAATTGTTGAATTTTGACTGCAAGTTGGTAATCGTTTTTGTGCTGTAATTGTTGTTTTGTCTCTGTGTGAGACTGCATTGTGTGGAAATTTTTGAATTTTTTGTTTGTATATCTTCGTGTTGCATTGATTATCCTGTTAGAACACCTTGGACTTAACCCGTTCGAACGTTCCCTTGATCTGAGATTTTGAGTCTCACGAAACCCTAGGAATCTAGAACGATGTATATTGTTGCCTTAGGTTTACTCTGTGTGACCTACTTGTACATTTTTTTGGTTGTTCTGTTTTTCAAAATGTCTTCACATTTCGAAATTGAGATTTTCAACGGGAAAGGAGATTTTTAAATTTGGCAACAAAAGATGAAGGGTATTCTGGTTCAACAAAAAGTTTCAAAAGCTATTGATGGCAAATTTCCGGAAAATTTTACAAAAGCACAAAAAGAAGAATATGATGAACTTGCATACACTTCTATCATTTTACACTTGTCTGACACTGTTTTGAGAAAAGTTGGAAAATTTGATTCTACCAAAGAATTTTGGAAAAAGTTGGAGGATTTATATTTGCTTAAATCCATTCCTAATAAGTTGTACTTGCTTGAAAGATTTTTTAGCCTTAAAATGGATCCTTCAAAGGATCTAGATGACAATTTGGATGTTTTTAACAAGTTGGTTCAAGACATTGTTAACGTGGAGAGTCGGTGTCTGAAACCTATAAAGCCATGATTTTGCTTAATTCTATGCCTGAGTCATGTAGAGAGGTTAAGAATGCGATTAAGTATGGTAGGGACACTTTAACCCCAAAATTGTCATTGATTCCCTTAGGAGTAAGGAAATGGAGATTAAGGCTGAAAAAGAAGATAGGCAAACTAGTGAGTTGCATATGATGAGGAGTAGAATGAAGTTTAAGCAAATGAGTTTTGGTAGAGCTCAAGATAACAGTGATTCGAGTAGTGACTCGAGTGATGATGGAGGTAAGGACAAGAGCAAGAGTTGGGACAAGTCCGGTGGTAGACGGTGTTACGGCTGTGGTAAGTCTGGACACTTCATTAGGGATTGTCCCAAGAAGAAGGGTAAGTCGAAAGGCGAGACGAATCTGGTTTTAGGGTCGAGTGATGGCCCTAGTGATGTTTATTGAGTGTAACCCTAGTTACTGCATGTGCATCCGTGTGTAATCCTTTCTGCATGTGTGTGATTGCTCGTTTCCGCTGCATGGCTATATGTTGCATTTCAATGTGTTTGATATGTGCATTGGCATGAATTGGAGTGATCTTATTACTTGGTGTAATGTGTTTGCATGCATAGTGGGTTGAGATCTATGGCGTACTCCGTTTTGCTCTGTGAGTGGTGTAAGAGAGTGTGGTAGTGAAAAGTTAGAGGGGCAGCCATTTTCTCCTTCATCTTTGTGAGCCTATGTGGTTTGTGAGATTGTATAAGGCAGCCTGTAAGAGTTATCTTTGTTCTCTGTGTGAGTGTAGTGAAGTAACCAACTCTTTCTTCTATCCTCTTTGTGAGTGCCACTGTCACCCTTCCCTTTGTGGGATAAATCCTTTGTGGATTTTTTAGAGCATTGGTGTTGGAGTAACCTTGTTGGTGCGTGGGTCAATTTAAATTGAGCCCTAACCTTTATGGTCGCCAAAAGGTGTTGATTTGCCATAGTGGGTTCAGGATGCATTAGCAGTGTATGTGTGTGCGTGTATGTCTTTTGGTAAGATGGAGTATAGATGCCTAGGGGTACATTGTGGTTTGTACTGTGGGATGTGGAGTGTTACATTTGGATCACGATGGAGACGTGATCAAATGTTTGGAATTCTTTATCTGTAAGAGACCCTGATCAGGTGGAGTGCGAGTGAGACACTTCTATCACTTCTATTAGGTGGAGACCCATTATCCACGTTGGTTGGAAGAAGTGATGTGGTGATAAAGGATTATCCCAAGAACTTAGGATCTATGGAGATTTACCAGTTAGACATGAGTTGAGTGATTAGTCTCGTGAGCATTGTGGGCGATGAGGTGAGATATGTGTTCTCGAGGAGTGAGCAACACGGAATGGGATAGGATAAGTATGGTGAGATCTTCTTCGTGAGGTTATTTATGCATTTGTTACGTATGTGTTGGCCTGTTGATTGACTTTGTGTTAATTTGTTGTTCTGTGTGAACATGTTTGAAAAGATCTGTGTTATCCTATATGATATCTCCATCGCATGTTTATTTGCTCTTGACTGATTGCTATAAGTATTTGCTTCTACTTGGGTGTTCTTGACCTTAGCCCTGGTGAGTATATAGAGCAGGTATGATATGTGTTTCAGGTGCGAAACATGAGGTAAGGTCTGTGATACCAATTTTATTGGTTGCCTTGATTGTGCAAGTATGAACTGTGTGTTTTGTTTGCTTGCAGATTTATTGGAATCAAGGTGGAGATTTGTTGGGTTTTTTGATACCCAATAAATCCGGGCAATGATGTTAAACCGATTTTATAGTTTGGATTAGACTTCATAGGCCTCGGCCGATGATTGAAGTGAAATGTCGACATCACAATAAACGAACCACTCCGACAACCTAAGTGGGCCGTTTGAAGTAGCCTAATCTCATTAGTATTGTTCATGGCCCGGCCCATTACTTTGGATGGCTTTAGGGTTGAAAAGCCAACTTGTTGTTATCTATTGGGCCTCTTGTGTTTTGACCTTATAGCCCACTTAACTTGTGCTTATAAGTGGGGCGGTTTTCTTGTGATTGGCCCTAGTGTAAAATTGAACCTTGGAGCCGTGAGTTAGAGGAGGGAAAAGGGAGATTTGCTTTGTGCTTCCTCTTGCTTTGTGCTATCTTCTCCTTCTTCTTCTCTTAGCCTTAGTGACTAGTTTAAGGCTGCCAAAGATCACTCACACTCAGCCTTTGTGGCATCTTGGAAGCAACCAAGTGGTGGTGGTTCTGGTTTGGAGGTTGGTTGTCATTGTGGTGTCGATTGGTTGGTTTTCTAAGCCCGGTTTGTGGTTGATTGGAGCCCCAAATTTCGACAGCAGTGTTTTAAAATGCATATATATATAATTCATATATATCTGCATATGCTCGATGCGTTTTCGAAACGCCTCGAATATGGGGTAT